TCATGAAGATATTTGCAACAATTTTTTCTACTCTTTAAAGGTTCCTGTTCTCCATCCCTAACTACTTAGTTTATCTGGAATTATTTCACTGTTAAATGTGTAGGCTCTTACTTCTGCTCAAGCAATGATGGAAACATGGGGACCCCTTTCTTTAAACAACTAGGAAACCAAAAGAAATATAGGCAGCACCAATTTTCAAACATTAATAAGTAGTATAGCATGATCCCTGAGAAAAGGGAAACAGAGCCCAGTGGTCCCACTAAGTTGGGAAGACAGACTAGAATTTTGGGAGGCCAGGGCAGCTAGAATTTACAGTGAAGAATACTAGAAAGAAGCTTTGTAGACAAAGAGCTTCAGGGATCTTCAGAGAGAACTCTTCATGTTTTTAGCTGCGTTCTGATCTGTGCATATATGTGAAAGAACTACCCAAGGCCAGGAAAAGAACTACTGAAAGCATTAGGCCTAAAAATTCTTGGCACTCATACATAGCTGGGAATAGTTCATGTTCCTGCCAGCCAGAGCTGAAAACATTGCAGAGCATCAGACAGAATCCTAAGAAGGGTACCGCCTTACTAGTGGGGCTAAATTAGCCAAAGTAGAGGCTGCTCTGGACCCATTCTCACAAATCTTAAAAACAAGCCTTAAAGGAATGAACTGATTTCTGGTAACTTAACTGTGTGTTAATAAGAAGTCCAACAACTATTTAAAGTACTAAAACAAAAATCCAGAATCCAATAATATAAAATATGTAATATCCATCATCCAGTCAAAATTTACCAGGCATGTAAAAAGGGCATGAAATTAGGGCCCACAGCAAGGAAAAATTAATCACTAGAAATAGACCCAGAAGATAAGATCAGCAGCTAAGACTGTTAAAGAAGCTAGTACAAATATGCCTCATATTTTAAAGAAGGTATAAGAATATGAGAAATGAAATATTTAAGAAATGAAAGACTTAAAGACCCAAATAGAACTTCTAGAAATGACAATACAATATCTGAATTAAAAATACATTAAATGGGGGGCACCTGGGTGGCTCAGTCGTTAAGCATCTGCCTTCGGCTCAGGTCATGATCCTGGGGTCCCGGGATCGAGCCCCGCATCAGGCTCCCTGCTCAGCAGGAAGCCTGCTTCTCCCTCCCCCACCCCCCCGCTTGTGTTCCCTTTCTCACTGTGTCTGTCAAATAAATAAAATCTTTAAAAAAAATACATTAAATGAGACTCAGAGCAGAAAATATACTACTAAAGAAAAGATTAACAAACTTAAAGGCACAGCGAAAAAAATTATCCAAAATTTAGCATGGCATGAATAAAAGAACAGTCTATACACAACCTATAGGGCAATTTCAAAGGTCTAACAAATGTGCAACTGGAGAATCAGAAGTGGCGAGGAGGAAGACAGAAAGAGAAAGAAAAAGAGAAAGAGATATCATTAATAAAATAATGGCCAAAGTGGTTGAGGGGAGGGGAAATCAAAGATCGAGGCTGCCACCTTGAGAAACTAGAAAAAGAAATTGCAAATTAAGCTGAAAGTAAGCAGAAGGAAGGAAACAGATAACAGAAATCAAGGAAATAGGAAACAGAAACCAAAATAGAGTTCTTTGAAAAGATATAAACTTCTGGCCAGTCTGATCAGGAAAAAATTTAGAGAAAGAACAAATTACCAGTATCAGAAACAGAAGAGAGAACATCCCAATACATAACATACATTAAATGAATATAAACAACTTTATACTAATAAATTTGACCATTTAGATGAAATACATAAATTCCTTGAAACAAGCTATCAAAGCTCATTCAAGAAGAAATAATCTGAATAGCACTGTGTCTGTTAAAGACATTCAATTCGTAGTTAATAAACTCTTACAAAAAAAACAAAAACAAAAACAAAACCTCTTACCAATAAAACTCTAGGCCCTGATGGTATCACTGGAAAATTCCATATTTAAGAAAAAGATAGCAATTCTATACAAAGTCTTCCAGAAAATATAAGAAACATATTGCAATGCATTACCAGAAATCAAAACCAAAAAGATGACAAGAAAGCAAAAGCACAAACCAGTATCCCTCATAAACACAAAAATAAAAAGTCCTTAGCAAACTGAACCTAGCCATACAGAAGAACATCAAAACAAAGTAGTTTATCCCAGGAATGTAAAGTTGTTTAAATATTCAAAAAAAATTCAGTGTAATTCACTGGATTAACAGATGAAAACAAAAATATGATCTCAGTTAACAAAAGGCATTCCCCAAAATTAAATATCCATTTGTGATTAAAAACTTTCAGCAGGGTGCCTGGGTGGCTCAGTCTGTTAAGCGTCTGCCTTCAGCTTAGGTCAGGATCCCAGAGTCCCGGTTGAGCCCCACATCGGGCTCCCTGCTCAGCAGGGAATCTGCTTCTCCCTCTGCCCCTCACCCACTCATGTTCTCTCTCTCTCAAAATCTTTAAAAACAAAACAAAAAAACCTCTCAGCAAAGTAACACTAGGAAGAAGCCTCCTCAACCTGAAAAAGAGCATCCATGAAAAACCAACAGCTCATATCACACTAATGGAGAACATGTGAGTGCTTCCCTCTAATATCAGGAAAGCAAGGATGCTTGCCCTCACCACTTCTATTCAGTATTGTGCTCGAGTTTCTGACCAATGCAATAAGGCAAGAAAAATAAAAGACCTATAGATTGGAAAGTTAGGAGTAAAACTGTCTATTCACAATTTGATTCTCTATGTAGAAAATTCTACGAAATTTAATCCTAAGAAATCTAAAGAAAAAAAAAAGCTACTAGAACTAAGTGTGTTTAGAAAGGTAATAGGAAATGAGGTCAGAATACAAAAATCAATTGTAGTTCTATATAGTAACAAGCAATTAGAAATTTTAAAATAAACACATTATCTTCAAAAATATGAACTATTTAAGCATAAGTTTATAAAACATGTACAAGACCTATATACTGAAAACTATAAACTCTGCTGAAAAATTAAAGATCTAATAAATGGTGAGATATAAAATGTTCACGTACTGGAAGATTCAATATTGCTATGATGTTAATTCTTCCAAATTGATCTAAAGGTTCAATATGATGCCCATCAGAATCCCACTGGGCTTTTTCATAGATACTGACATACTGCTTCTACATTTATGTGAAAATATGAAGGGCCTAGAATAACCAAAATAATTTTGAAATAAAAGGGAAAAAAAACAAGTTGAATTTGCGCTGATTTCAAGACTTAATATACAGACACAGTGATAAAGACATTGTGATACTGGTATAAGTATAGACATGATTTCACTTACATGTGAAATTTAAGAAACAAAAGAAAGAAAAAAAGAGAAACAGGGGCACCTGGGTGGCTCAGCTGGTTAAGCATCTGCCTTTGGCTCAGGTCATGATCTTGGGGTTCTGGGATCGAGTCCCATATCAGGCTCCTTGCTCAGCAGGGAGTCTGCTTCTCCCTCTCCCGTCCCCTGCTCTCTCTCTCTCTCAAATAATAAACTTAAAAAAAAAAAGGGGGGGAACCCCAGACTCTTAAATATAGAGAAATTGGTGGTTGCCAGAAAGGTGGGTGGGGGATGGATGAAATAGGTGAAGGGAATTAAGAGTCATCACTTATCATGATGAGCACTGAGTAATGTATAGAATTGTTGAATCATTATAGTGTACACCTGTAACTAATACTGTATGTTAATTATACTTGAATAAAAAAATTTTTTAAAAGAGAGGATCCAGAATAGACCCATACATACACGATCAGCTGATTTTCAACATGCCAAAGAATTAAATGTTCCAAAATAAGTGGGAATAATTGGATATCAACATGGAAAGAAATTAACCTCAGTCCTAATGCCTCACACCATATATAAAAACTAGCTCAAAATGGCTCATATGCCTAAATCTAAGCTAAAACTATAACACTTCTAGAAGAAGAAAACATAGGAGTCAGGCAAACCTTGAGTTAGGTAAAGATCATAAAAGAAAAATGATAAGCTGCACTTCATCAAAATAAAAACTTCTGCTCTACGATGCCACTAAGAAAATAAAAGGGGAAGCCACAGTTTAGGAGAAAATATTTGTAAAATACCTAACTGATAATAAACCTATATCCAGAATATATAAAGAACTCTTGTAACTCAATAAAAACAAATCAACCCAATTAACAAATTGGCAAACAATGTTAACACTTTACTAAAGATACACAGATGGCAAATACATTAAAAAATATTCATCGTTATTAGTCACTGGGGAAATGCAAATTAAAGTCACAACTGAGATACCACTATACACTCACTAGAATGGCTAAAAGTAAAAAGGCTGACAATATCAAGTGTTACCAAGGATGTGGAGTAACTACAATACTCCTACATCGCTGGCAGAAGGCAAAATGGCAAAGCCACTTTGGAAAACAGGTTGACGGTTTCTAAAAATGTGGAACATATACTTAACATAATAAATCTCATTCCTAGGATATACCCAAAAGAAATAAAAATATATGTTCAAACAAAGATGTGTATGCAAGTTCATAGCAGCTTGATTCATAATATCTCAAAGCTGGAGAAAACCCAAATGTTCCTAAACTAGTGATTAGAAAAACAAACAACAGTATATCCATGTATCAGAATACTACTCAGCAATTAAAAAAAAATACTGATACATTCAACGCATGACTCTCAAAAGCATTATGCTAAATTAAAGAAGCCAGAAACAAAAGAGCATGTGCAATATGATCCATTTATACAGAAAACTATAGGGACAGAAAGTGGTTACATTGTGCCAGGGCAGTTGAAGGGATTCCCCCCAAAGGGGAAGGGAACTTTGAGAGGATGGAAACATCCTAGATCATGACTGTGGTATAATTATACCACTCTACACATTTGTCAAAACTTATCTAACCAGACACTTACAACTGGTGAATTTTATCATACATATACATTATATTTTAAAAAATTTTTAAGATCTCTTTTCTGGGCTGACAGCTAACCAAGAAATGACAAGACACTGTTTACCTTCCCAGTCCTCCATGTAAGGGGCCTCCTCAGCTTCTTTCTCTGGAGTGGGCCTGTCAGTGAATTTTCCTTCTTTCATGACCCTGGTGATTTCTCGGAGCTGATGCAGCAACCGTTTTTCTTGGTCAGAAGTCACAGTCTGTGCTCTGCTTAGAGATATCAGACAACCCAGCCATTTAATGATAAATGAACTCCTGGGCAATGAACATAGACATCACTATCATCTGTCTGGATCCTAGAATAGGAAGTCCAACAGCAGCAGGTAAATATTCTAGAAATTGGTCCTGGAAATGCATTGCTGATAACTAGATATGTTAGTTCAATGTTCTGATTGATTTTATAAATGGGGAAACTAAGGCCTAGAAAAGATCAAGTGATTGCCCAAGGTCCCACAATGAATTAAGGCCAAAACTGGGACGAGACCCCAGATGTTTCAGCTTTCAGTTCAGTGTTCTTTCAGTATACCTCACTGCCCTGATTCTCTAATCTCTAAGAAATTTCACTGTTACTCTTACTACCCATTTACTATAAGCCACTTTTCTCCAAAGCAAGGTCATCAAAAGAAAATGTGCTGACTCATCAGACACAACTAGGGAAAAATATCCTACTAGCCCAACCCTGGAATCACTAGGCTGCATCTACTTGTGCAGAAATAAAGATACATCCGAAAATTTCAGAGCTGGATCATTCTGACAAATCAGTCATCTAGACCAGAGAAACTGAGGCCCACAGAGGGGAAATTCTACATTTATTCCTACTGCTAGTTAATGCCATCACTTGAACTACAACTAAAGTCTCCTGACTTCTGATAGCATTCTATGCAATTCTTAAAGCACAATGCTCAAGTCCCAGTTTAGAAAACCTGGGTTTGAGTCCCAATTTAGCTGGATAACACTGGGCAAATGTGTACAAAAATAAGATGAGGCTCAGGATTAATGGTAGGACGATTTTGAGATGGAAGCATCGCATCACACTCATAGGCAAAGTCCTACTCAGAAGACTAACTAGTTTGGGACCAGTTTTACCTAGTGGCAGGATGTAACAGAGACTACTTATTTTCCCCTTAAAAATCCAAAACATTCGAAGGCAATATAAATTCATGAAGGAAAAATGACCTTTAATACTAGCCTCATGGAAGTGCCATCAATTTTTTCTAAACAGCCAGTCTCCAGCCTGTGTTCCTTCTTATGCTTAGTCTAACAAACTTAAGCCTTAATGACCAGCAGGGGAAAAAATTGTTCCTCCCTCCAATGTTAAGATGGTTAAGTGAGGAAAATGAAGGTGCAACATTTCCACAGACCTCAGTGGGAAGAAAACAAAAGCACCATGCGCTCCACTTCTTCCACACTAAAGGGCCTCAAAGCCATGAGCTGAAGAAGCCTGTCTGTCCTACATTCAGGTAAATCTTACACGCAGCAGGCCTCTTACAGCTCTGGTCTTCCTCTCCGTACAGGAGTCCTGACTTGTCACAACTGCTCATCTGCTCTGTAGAACTCCTAATTCTTACTATGACAACAACCCACTTTGGCGGGGGGCTTCTGACTCACCTAGGGCAACCTTTTAGCTAGAAAAGCCTATTTGCTAGAATCCAAAATATGGAAAGAACTTATAAAACTCAACACCCAAAAAACAAATAACCCAGTCAAAAAATGGACAGAAGACATGAATAGGCATTTTTTCCAAGACCATATAAAGACAGCCAACAGGCACATGGGGATTAAGGAGGGCACTTGTGATGAGCACTAGGTGTTGTATGTAAGTGATAAATCACCAAATCCTACACCTGAAACTAATGTTACACTGTATGTTAACTGGAATTTAAATAAAAACTTGGAAGAAAAAAAAAAGAGCCTATGTGCTTATCACAAAGCTCTGGCCCTTGGGCGCATGTGTTACTTCTCTGGACTGTACTGAGCGCATTTTGATTTTTTACTGAATGAAATAGTCTTGACTCTGTTTCGGAACTTACGGAAAACCAGAACCCCTAATTTTAAAAGGGATAGCTCTGCTAGGAGAAGCATAAACAGGCAAGTGAAGCTTTCTCAGAGAATTCTAAATTAAAGCATCCTCTTTTACTTCCAAACAAGCATATTCCTATTGTCCATATCATGCATTAGGCAATTAATCATGGTCCGTCTTACAGCTTCTGAATTTACGTAACGAAGGTTTTCATAGATTCCTCATTGTCTCAACTTGGTTTGATAGTCCTGGAGGGCACTGATAAATTCAAGACAGTACAGGCACAGTGCCACGAACACTGCAAGCACTCGATTTACTCTGTGTTAGTTTAATTGGTCCCCATTTCCTTACCATCTGTTTTCCCCCACCTCCCTGAAATCTGGCTTCTACTCCATCATTATACCAAAACTTGTGAAAATCATCAATACCACTTTACTCTCAAGTCTAAGAATCTTTTTTTACATTTCATTTTTCTTGACTTCTCTGTACTGTGGGCCATCCTCTCCTTGAAATATTCTCTTCCCTTGGCTATTGAGACCTCCGTATTCCTTCCACTTTAACCATTCCTTGGATCGCTGATCCTGGCTCACTTTCCCCCCATCCGCCTTCTGAACACATGGTGTTACTGAAGGCTCAATCCTCGGGCTCTCACTTGTCCACTCTTACAGTCATCTCTCAGGAAGCAGACCCAGTATCACAAATTAAACCACTGCCTCTACATAGATGATACCCATACTCTACCTCTAATCCCGATTTATCACATGAAAACCAGTCTCATAACTCCAGTGATCTAGGGCATTTCCACTTAGAGGACTTGCTCTTAATGAAGTTAACCTCAAATTCGCTCTTCCAAAACAGGGCCTAGTTGGCCCAGGATGAGGAACAGCTGCGTGAGCAGCCAGGTTTGGAGAGGCTGGGTATGGCAGATTCCAAGATGCTAGAAAAATAGAAGGTCAGATTGGAAGATTCCTGATCAGACTTTTGAGTATTATAAACCCAGAGGAATCACCAAGTTCTGAAACCAAAAGTAAAGAGAATGAAATAGTTTCTTACAATACCATTCATGATTAGAACAGAATTCAGACCAGCAAAAGATCGCAAGCTATCGCCACACAGTATGATGTGCCTCAAGAACTTGATCTCCTCTTTCCCCATGGCCCTTACTTCCCTCCAGCCAAATGACCTTCAAACTTGTTTCCTTTGTTCTGACCTCAATACCCAAATTTCCTATTGTTGTTGTATATCATACATAGCTGTTCTGATGGCACCTCAACCATAGTCAAAGCTGAACTCATGATCCTTATACCAAAACCTTATCTTCTTTCTCCTCTTCTGTGTTTTTATCTTGGTTGGTATTATAATCTTCCTTGTCATTTGGGCCACAAATCTCCAACTCATCTCTATCTCTTTCTTGTCTTTCATTGCTATTACCTAGTTTTTCTTTTGGGGAACCAACCCCTCTTTTGCTCATAGTGTAAAGGTTAGAGTGAAGCTATCCATTCCCTTACCTCTCCTTCCAGGGTGGCCCACAGTCAATCAACACACTCCATCCCTGGGCTGCAGTGAATGATTCAGTGATATACACAGGACCCAAGTTGGAACAACTGTACTTTCTCCTAAAACTGGGTGTTGAATGCAGTAAAGCCAGATCTGAAAACTTCTCATGTTAATTCATTCTGACAGCAGTCCTTGAAGAACCTGTCCATTTGTTTCTGTCCTCGAACTCTCCCAAGCTGTTCTGGTTCCCCCTCTTTCTGAAACCTGAATCTTTAGCTATTCCTTTGATATTATGAGCTATCCCATACCTTTCCAATAAATTCTCTCACCGTCTCCAAATTTTTGCTACCCAGAGTTGGCTGTTTGCTACCAAGGAATCCTGAAAACAGCCTGTGATTTTTAAAAACTTTTTATTTATTTATTTAAGTAATCTCTACACCCAACATGGAGCTCAAACTCACAACCCTGAGATCAAGAGTTACATGCTCTTCTGACTGAGCCAGCCAGGTGCCCCCAGCCTGCGATTTTTTTTTTAAAGATTTATTTGAGGGGGCCTGAGTGGCTCTGACGGTTAAGCGTCTGCCTTTGGCTCAGGTCATGATCCCAGGGTCCTGGGATCGAGCCCCACATCGGGCTCCCTGCTCTGCGGGGAGCCTGCTTCTCCCTTTCCCTCTGCCTGCTGCTTCCCCTGCTTGTACACTCTCTGTCAAAAATAAATAAAATCTTAAAAAAAAAAAAAGATTTATTTGAGAGAAGGGCGCCTGGGTGGCTTAGTTGTTAAGCGTCTGCCTTCGGCTCAGGTCATGATCCCAGGATCCTGGGATCGAGCCCTGCATCGGGCTCCCTGCTCAGCGGGAAGCCTGCTTCTCCCTCTCCCACTCCCCCTGCTTGTGTTCCCTCTCTCGCTGTGTCTTTCTTTGTCAAATAAATAAATAAAATCTTAAAAAAATAAAAAAAAGATTTGAGAGAGATTGAGTGAATGAGAAAGAGCACAAGTGGGTGGGAAAGCCAGAAGGAAACACTTACCCAACTGAGCCACCCAGGCACCCAACAGCCTGTGATTTTTCTTCTCCCTTCTGTCAAGTCCCCTTGATTTGGACCCTTATTTCCACTCTCACTGACCTATTTATTACCTTTCCCTGGAACTTTTTCTATAACCTTCTAGCGTGTAGCCGTTTTACCTATCACTAGAAGAGTTACTTTTCTAAAGTACAGCAGATCATGACATTTCTCCTCAAAAGCCTTTAGAGACATCCCACTATAAAGACAAAGAATTTCAAACTTCTCAGCCTACCATTCAGAGCCTTACAGTCTGGGCCCAGTCTACTTTTCTAGTTTTTTCTTCCCTTACCTCCCTACCCATTTACTCCAGCCCTGATATGCTCTACTCCAGTTACTCAGGACTACCTACTGTTCCAAAAACATGCCTTGACTTTCTAACCTTGTTTGCTGTTTATGCTACTACCCTCTCCCTCTGAAATGTTCCCCCCCACCACCAAATTGTGCCTGAGGAGATCCTTTTATCCTGTTAAGCCTTATTCAAATTCCTCCTTTTCCATAGAGCTTCTGTGGTAGACAGAATCATGTTCCCTTTCCCACTCCCCAAAGAAGTTCACATCCTAATCCTTGGAACCTATAATGATGTTACTTTATATATAAGGGGACTTACAGTTGTAGATAGAGTTAAGCT